CCTTCTTCTTGTGAGGCTTTCTCCTGTTGCTTCAATTGACTTATTGCATTCAACCTATCTTCATTTTAGCTTGGAGTTTCTTCAATATTTCTATATGTTTTGTTAATTCACTTTTCAAGTCCTGAATTGATTTTGTTATTTCATTCAGGTGCACATTTGTATTTTCTTGAGCTTCAATCACGAGTTTATGCCTATCCTCTTTGAGTTCTTTGTTTGTCTGTGTGCTCTTTAAGCTTTTTGATCATGTTTAAGATTGTTCTTTTAAATGTGGTGTGGTTCCTCATGGTGATTTGCATTGTAGCACCATTCTGTAGGACTGATGAGTTTTGCTGGGGACAGATTCATTTGGTCTTTCTCATTTGTGTTTTTGCCTTGCCTTTTGGGCATATAGATGTCATTTTTTGGTTTTATGCCTGGCAGGAAATTCTATTCTGCCTTTTTAAGATGAAGTTTGGTTCTGTTTATATTGTTGATGTAGCTTGGTTGCTTTTCACTCAAGCAGGAAAAGTTAGTTGCTGTGTACATCAGATTCTTGAAGGCTAATAGGCTTGTCTGGGTTGTAGGCAGGTCTGTGGTAGACAAATCAGGAGGAGCCAAGGAAAGACTGGGGTAGGGATAGGCTGTGGAGGGTCTAACAAATGAAGTTGGATAATAGAGCTAGTCTGGGTGCAGGGGTCAGAATGTGGTGGGTGGGTCTGGACTAAGAGAGAAGTCCACAGATCTGAGGCAGAAAGAGCAGGAGTGGGCCTGACCCAAGTCTAGAAAGTGGACAGAGTGTGGGAAGAGAGTGGAACTGCTCATGGTGCAGGGGAATCAAGGCACAGCTGGCAGGCTCTGACTTAAGAGGGTAGTAGGCAGGTCTGTGGCAGACAGATCAGGAGACCAAGGGCAAGGTGGAATGGGAACAGCCTGAGGAGGGTCTAACAAACTGAGCTGGAGGACTAAGCTAGTCTGGATAGGAAGACAGTCCTGAGAGCTGAGGTAGAAGAGCAAGCCTGGACCCAAGGCTAGAAGGGAGAGAGTGCAGGGAGTGGAACTGCTCATGGTGCAGGGGAATCAAGGCATCATGGGCAGGATCTGACTTACCAGCATAGAAGGCAGGTCTGTGGTGGTTGGAGCAGGAGGCCAAAGGCAAGGTGGGGGCTTGGGAGAGCCTGTGGAGGTTCTAACAAGCTATGCTGGAGAACTGAGCTGGTCTGGGTTAGGAAACTAGTCCAGAGACCTGAGGCAGATGAATAGGAGGGGGCCTGGGCCCAAGGCTAGGAAAGAAACAGACTGTGGGGAGAGAGTGAACTGTTCAGGCTGCAGGGGAATCAAGGCCTCCTAAAAGTCTTTGACCAACAAGATCACTACAATTTCCTGAGCAACTTCCCAGAAATACATCAAAACCATCCTTCTTCTTCAGACCATTCCCAGAACTGTTGGCCCTCCCAAGTAGAAAGTAGCATCAAAGACAGTGCCAGCCATCTTCCTATCCAACTATAGATCCTGGAATCTAGTAGGCAATCTCATTCCAGCTCCCCCTCTCCTTTGATTATAGTCCAGTCAGAATAATCTCTCCTTCCTATGACTAAGTTTCAATTTCCCAAAGTCAATATCATTAATACCATTCTTGTATGTCCTCGTTTAACCATTAACACTACCTAGTTGATCCAGACCTCTGTCCCTTTGAATCACCTCTATACCCAGCTGTGACAATAACCCTAGTCTCTTGCCTTCTCTGATGAGAGCCCTCCTCAGATTTTTTTTTTGAGTCCCTGCCATTGAGTCCTTCATCTTTCTTTTCTTCTTACAGAACTTATTGTGGCAACCACTTACCAACATAACGTTATTCATAGAGAAAATTTGTAGCTTCAAACACAGGTCAGAAGAAGCTGTATCACCAAAAAGCCTACCCCGGAATGAATAACACCCCTGGAAAGCTGCACCCCTGGAACTCCCTGCACAACTTTCAGGGAATTCTGCCACTCCAGCATTTTTTTGCTGCTTATGTCACCTCAGAGAGGGGCATTGTTTATCTTATAATTTTCTGAACTTCCTGAGACTTCTATGTTTCATTAGTTTCCTGAATACTAAAGGCCTCCCTCCAGGAGGAAGTGTTTCAATTCAGAGAAATAGCTATAAACTAATATGGTTCCACTTATAGGAAAAGAAATGATATATGGTGTTATACGGATGGGTCTTACTGCCTAGAGTGGAGCCCAAAGGAAACTTTTGGAGTGATGATAGAGTATTTTACATGTTGATGAGGGAGAGTGATGGATACAGAAAAAAATTAATCTAAATGCATACTGAGACATAAACTTCAGTATAAAGAATTTTAAAACACAAAAGAACTGTGTGAGAACAGTAAAGTGGAGGTAAGTTGAGTCAGTGTCCTAATGGAGAGAGCCAGAACTGATCAGTTACCATCTGGGTGACACACACCTCAACCTGCTGAGCCTCAGTTTCCTCATTTCTGGGTTGAGGATAGAAGCAGAACCTATACCTCAAGGTGTCACTGTGAGATGGGGAGATGGCTTAGTGACTAAAGTTCTTGCTATGCAAGCATGAGGACTTGAGTTTGGATTGCCAGACATGGTGGTGCACATCTATAATCTCAGTGCTCCTACAGAGACATGGGAAGCAGAGATAGGAGAACCCCAGAAGCTTGCAAGCACAGTGGCAAACAAGAGACATCCAGCCTCAAGGTGGAAGGAAAGGACCAATACCCAAAGCCATCCTCTGATTTCCACATGCAAGCCTGAACTCACACTTACACACACACACACACACAATTTTAAAAGTGCAAAGCTTTAGGCAACTGTCTATCAGTAAGCTCTAAATAAATACTGTCTATTATTACTGTGGACAGTTAAATGTTTACCACTAGGGAGAACATGGTCAACTTGTAAGTATAAAGTAACAATTTGCTGTAAAAGCATAAAATGTCAAAAGCTTTTCATTTAATTCCTTTGCCTCAAAATACAACCTTAAATTTTTAAATGTGCAGAATTACAAGGGTTATTCAACAACCCACAGTTGTGGTGAGAGTTTAATATACCACTGCTGATAAATAATTTATCAATATTCATAAATGTGCAGATAGCTTTTCAATACAACATGATTAATACAGTGGGCTTATACAACACAATGACTTCAATCACTTAAAAGCCCTTATATAAATTTGGGATTGATTTCAATGAAATAAACACATACCATCTTTTTTTTAAGTGTAAACAAAGTATCACACTAGTATACACATATTCTTTTCATGTAATGAAACATTCAGAAATAGCCAAGGGCTGATACAATCTTACATAAGCACCAACTTAATAGATTCTAAGCCTCTTGTGGATCAGGGAACCTAGGATAGTTTTAACTTCCAGTTATATTCTTACCTACAGTATTTACTCTAATGACCATAAGCTGTGTCCTGTAGTTCTGAGTGCCATGTCTACAAAAGGCAAGAAGTGGAGAGGTCTACCTAAATTAAACCAATCCTGAGTAGCATCTTTTCTCAGTAATACTGTTATAGTTTGGATTTTAAATGTCCCCCAAAAGTTCATCTAGTAAAGGATGGTCACCAATAGATGGTGCTACTGGGAAGTGATGGATGGATCCTCCACAGCCCACTGGGACAAGATGCAGTCATTGGGGTATGTCTTTGAAGGGGACTCTATGTCCTTCCTTTCTGCTTCCCTGCCAGACATGTAGTGAGCAGTTACCTCTATCACCTGCTTTCTCCGTAAGGTACTGCCTTATTGTAGGCCCAAAGGCAGGATAATCTGGTGACCATGAACTGAAACCATGAGTGAAACTAAATGTTTTCTCCTTTTAAGTTGATTTTCTCAGGTATTTTGTCACAGCAATGGAAAACTAATACATATATCCAATTTTCTCATATTTATACTAGCCAGGACTGGGAGGCATGGCCTGGGAGGTGGAGGGCCTTGAATAGAGCACACTACCAATGATTACAAAAACATGGGACTGGAGAGATGGCTCAGTGGTTAAGAGCATTGACTACCTGTCTCCCAATTGGCTAGTTCCTCCAAGGGGTGGGGCCTGCCGCAGAGTGTGGACAACTGTGGGGGCTGCTGGGAGCCATCTTGGAACAGAAGCCACAAGCCAGGGGAAGCCAAGAGCTGTGGGGAAGCCGCCAGCCATGGGGAAGCGCACAAGCCATGGGAATGCGCACCTGCACCTCAAGGACAAAATGGCCCAACATTTATGGACCTGGGCCAAGATCGTGGGCACCTGAGGCATGAGCAAATGCTAGCAGTGAATACAGTAGTCGTGGCGTGGTCTGATATGGTGGGCTCTGAGCGGGGTCCACGGAGGCCAGGGGCTAGGTACTGGGTACTCATTCCTTTGTAACTTAATAAATGCACGTAAAATATATGGTTTGTCTAGTCGCACAGAAGACCCAGAGGGAATTCCGGCGACACTAACTTTGCAGAGGACCTGGGTTCAGTTTCCAGCACCCACGGGGCAGCTAAAAACGGTAACTCCAGTTCCAGGGGACCTAAGGCCCTTTTCTGGCCTCTGCAGGCATTTTGTCCACACATAGCACACTCATATACATGCAGGCAAAACATTCATATGCACAAAATAAAAATAAATTTTTTTAATTAAAAAAAAAAAATTAGAGCTGGGCCTGGTGGCACACACCTTTAGTCCCAGCACTCAGGTGGCAGAGGCAGGTGGATCTCTGTGAGTTCAAAGCCAGCCTGGTCTACATAGCGAGTTCCAGGTCAGCTGGGGCTACAGGGAGACCCTGTCTAAGAAAAGACCAAAAAATTTTTATTTTTTAATTAATCTTTAAAAACAAAACTAGGTTCTTTTATACAGAAGGGGCAACTTTAGTTGCCAACTAGTAGAATATGGCACATTATATCTAAAAGCAAATCTCAACAAATACCTAAGATTCAATAGCATAAAGACCATACTCTGCTAACTATATAATTTAGAAATCAATAATGAAATGGTACCTAAGAAAGAGCCATGTAGCATTCAAGAACTTTCCATAGCAATAGAAAAAAAACATTCTAAATATTCTAAGTCTGTAATGGGGTGGTGGTCACATATATGTGTGTGTATGTCAAAGTCATTCAACTCTACACTTTAAGGTATATACAGTTTGCTATAAGTCATTATAATAATGCTACAAAATGTGTATGAAAATTTATCCATAAACTGGTGGTTTAAAACCTAATTCCAAATAACTTGTGAGTCAAGGTGATAATGGAAGTTCAGATATATTATAATTAAACCAAAAGAAAAACATACAGCCATCCCTCTGTAGTCAGAGAAACCCGTTCCAGGACTCCCCTCACATACACCACAGAAACAAAATCCATGGACATTGGAGTCCGTTTTATAAAATGACACCATATTTGCATAAAACCCACACATACCCTACTACATACTTTAAGTCGTCTCTAGATGACTTATGATATCTAATACAGTATAAAGTTGAGTATTACATAAAGTTGTTATAGTGCATATTGCTTAGGGAATAAGGGAGAATGTACATATGTATTCAATACAGATTTAATTTTCTTAATATTTTCAATATGTAGTTATTTGAATCCACAATCCATAACAGAGAAAGGAAAATGTATTTCAAAAAACAACACAAAGATGCAGATGAACAACTACTACAAGAGACAATGGTAACCCAACATGCTACAGTTTTTACAAACTAGAAGTTAACTACAAAGAGGTCTACCATAGGAATGGGACAGTGATAAAGTCAGACCACCATTTCTAACATTCTTTCTCTCGGAGTGGATCTTTTTGTGCACAGAGAGTGACGAGCTATGCCTAAATGCTTTCTCACACTGATTACATGGGTAGGGTCTCTCTGCTGTGTGAGTTCGCAGATGGACAATAAGATGTGAAGATCGATCAAAAGTACGTCCACACCTCTGGCATTCAAAGGGTCTCTTGCCACTGTGAGTCCTCATATGTTTCCTAAGGGATGAGGGCTCACTGAAGGCTCGCCCACATTCCTGACATGCATATGGCTTCTCTCCAGTGGGAGTTCGCATGTGACTTTTCAGGGTTGAGAGTTGACTCAAGACCTGACCAGCACTCTTACAGCTTCTTCCCCGTGTGTATCCTCTTGTGCACATTCAGGTGGGTGCTTGTCCGGAAAGGCTTCCCACACTGAATGCATTCATATGGTTTTTCTTTGGTGTGGGTTCGCAAGTATATCTTCAGTGATGAATGTTCCCTGAAAGCTTTTCCACATTGGCTGCATTCAAACGGCTTCTCTCTCCAGTATGAGTTCTCATGTGGCTCCTTAGAGATGAAGCCTGGTTGAATGTTTTCCCACAGTCCTTGCACACATATGGCTTCTCTCCTGTGTGGTTTCTCTGGTGCAAAACCAGGTTAAAATTCCTGGTAAAGGTTTTCCCACACTGACTGCATCCAAAGGGTTTCTCCCCAGTGTGAGTCCTCGTGTGCCTCTGCACATTGGAAGAATATTTGAAGGTCTGCCCACACTCTTGGCACTTGAAAAACTTCTCTGTGGTGTGAGTCTTCACATGCCTGAGGTCTGAGCAGTATCTGAAGGATTTTCTACATGTGCCACATGGATAAGTTTTGTCCATGGTCTGGATTTCTTCAGGTACAATTAGCTTAGCATTCTGGAGGGATTTTCTATGCCTTTGACGTGCATAGAGGGTCTCTTCAGGATTAATTTTCTGGTACTGAAAGCATGGTTTGATGTTATTAAAAGACTCCTTCAGGTCATTACATTTGTAGAGCTCTTCACCAAGCTGAGGTTTCTCCTGCTAATTAAAGAAAATAGGAAGGCCAAAGGCTTTATTATATTCAAAGATATTCTTCCCTTCCTCACCTGAATGTCTAATGAATGAGTCTGTATTTTTCCTATGCAGAATTCCCTCCACAGAAATAGGGTAGATGGTTCTGTCACAATGAGTGTTGTTTTCACTACGTTCATGGGGCTTTTTAGAAACAGAGACTTTCTGAATTGTTTAAAGATGAATTAAGTTTTAAACACTTTTCATTCGAGTTGCTGCTGCTGCTACTGCTGTTTTTGTAATGTTTTGTTTTGTTTTGTTTTGTTCATATGACAGACAAGCACCCTGTTACTGAGCCACATCTCAGGCCCAAGACACAAGTCTTGATCTATATTTAGAGTTGTTCCCCAATTCATGACATTCACAGACTCTCTCCCCATAAACTCACTTTCCCATGGGCAAACACAAATAAATCTCTCTTAGCCCTTGTATTGGTTTTCTAACCTATAGCAACTAAAACATTTCCTACTACAGAATAATTCCTTGGGAATCTTACCACTTTCACACCAGTAAATGGCTAAGAATTGACTCTTAGAGTTCAAGCTGAGGTTCTGAAATGAATTAATGGGATAAAATAATTAAAGGCTCCATGACAAAGAAACTGAGGGAACAAGATGACCGAAAACAGTAGGCAAGGCAGGTATGGATTTTTTTCAAATATCAATCCCACATACTGAAACAAACTGCAAAGAGGAGGAATATGTCAGAGGCTAAAGCAAAATTTTAAGTATGTCACAATGTGAAAAATTATGTGATCAAAAGAACAAGGGATAGAAAAGGTCAACAACTTTCTGAGACATACATCTATGAAGACTGAGACTACTGTTAAAGGAAAATATTAACAAAAATGTATAGTAATGAACTGAATAAAATAACACATGAAATTATTAATATGAAGAAAAATGGGACATATGAAATCAGGGGAAAGCACTAGAGATAAAAGGGAAAAAGTAGAATATAGTGGTTCACGACTTCAGTCCCAGCTCAGTAAGCAGGGTAGTCTGATCTACATAGTAAGTGCCAGGCCAGCCAGCGTTACACAGTAAGTCCCTGTCTCAAAAAAAAGGGGGGGGGATAAAGAAAGTCAAATTTATAAAAGGAGCTCGGACAGCTTTCTCAGTAAAAGACACCGAAAATACTTCCCTATGGACAACTCCCAAATCTCTTTTATTTTTTTATTTTGGTTATTATTTTTATTTTATGTGTATGAGTGTATGGCCTGCATATGGGTAAATGCACCCATGTCATGCAATGCCCACAGAGGTCAGAAGAGGGTATGGGATCCCCTGGAGTTAGAGTTATGGACAGTTGTCAACCACCATGTAGGTGCTGGGAGTTGAACTGGGTTCTCTGCAAGAGCACTAGTGCTATTAACCACTGAGCCATCTCTCCAGCCCCCAAATCTCTTTCTGATGAGAGCTGGTACTCACCTGGTCTACCTAGAGCTCACCTTGGTAGTACAACTGAGAGATTCCTCTCTTGATGGTACACAGTTCTTCTTTTTGCTCCAGATGAAACAATGTGCTAGGTTTACATAGCTGACCTAATTGTGAGGGAAAAAAATTGTATGGCATGGTATGATGGTACCTAGCTATGCCTCCAATGCTCACTGAAATCCTTAAGGGATCTGGAGATGGAAGCAGGTAAATCAGCATGTGTGAATCCTAATAAATACAGCAAGCCTCTTTCACTAAGGGACTTAACTCAAGCTCTGTCATTTGGACATAGAGGACACTGAAGCTCTCTGATCTCCCATACCCAGAGCCTGGCTCAGACACATATGTGGGAAGCTTTTAGTCCTGGGGACAGAAAGAGCAACAAATGGATCTACATTTTCACGGGGAGACAACTAAACTGCAAGTATCATAAGGGTGGGCCTTGTCTGTCTTTTCTCATTTTGGTCTCCTAAACCCTCAGTTACTGGGACCCACAGTAGCTGCATAAGCATGTGGAGGAGGCAAAGAGACCAGCCTTACCCACAGAGGCCAGGTTCCTGTAGTTCTCCACCATCACATCTCTGTACAAGCTTCTTTGAGCAGAGTCCAGAAATACCCATCCTTCTGGGCTGAACACTACAGCCACATCGCCAAAGGTGACTGGTTCCTAAAACACACATCCATCCTGGCTCAACCAGGGGCTGCTCCAACCAAATCCAAGAGCGTAATGACACTGCCAGGCCCAGGGAAGGGAAACCCATGCATAGTGTTTTCAAATAGGATTCTAAAGTCTCAAGAATCTTGCCCTCAGTTCAGGCTTCAGTATTAAAATTTCTAAGGGTTAGTGCTGTAGTTCAGAAGCACTTGCCTAGCATGTGTAAGTCCCAGGCTCTGTTCCCAGCAACATACACAAAACCCAGAGAACTCTTTTCTATCTAATCATCATTCCTAAAATAATAGCAGCAAGAGGCGCTAATTTATACCTAAAGACCTCTACTTAAATATGTATACCTATACCAGAAGCCCTTGGTTAGGTTTATTCCTTCTAGCTCCAAGGCCCAGGAGACCTGAGCATGTACAGGCACAAGAGAATATTTGGGGAGCTAGGAATGGCTGCTGTAGACCTGTAATCCCAACACTCAAGAGTCTAAGGAGAAAGGAGAGGACAGAGGACAGGGAGGAAGACAGCTCACACCCATGCTTTAATGTTTTCCCTCCAGGAGCTCAGCAGCTGCTGAGACAGGTCTGAATGAAGGTGTGGACTATTTGCTACATGGATTACACCCCATCCACCCACCCACTGCAGAAGGCCCAGCTCCTGGTAGACTAGAGGTCAGCCCTGTGGTATAATAAGGTCCAGTAGGTGACATGAAAGATGCAAGGCCAGTCTCTGGCCACAGTCATGTTTTTCTGGAGAAAGAAGGATTCCCTATTTACCTGGGGAAGGGTGATGGTCAACATCCCAGGAACTATGGCTTCTTCGTCTGTGCCATCTTCTTGGAACCAGGTGGGGTTCTGAGAAGGCAGAGCTAGGAGAAAAGAGAGCAGATATGAAGATCGGTGCCTAACCAAGTGAGTACACCTGCAAGTCCGCAGACTGCCACCCTAAGTGAGCACATATGCATACATATGCATACAGATGTATATATTCACAGGTATATGCACATACCACACCAATGGAAAGACACACATATACCTAAAGATACGTGTACACATGCTCTTGCACACATGTGCGTACTACTCAAGCATGCACACATGTGCATGCATAGAAACATATACCACACACAAATACACACAGGGATACGCACATGCCACCCTCACAGAGACACACATCACATTCACAAGAACACATGTGCACACAGAAACATGCATGTGCTTGCTCTTGCACACACATGTATATATGCACAAACATGCATGCATGTGCATACATAATAAGCACTTGAAAATGTATGATATGCACTCATGGGAATGCACATGTCCAAAAGGGACATGTGATGCATGCAGAAAGAAGGACAAGGAGAGGTGTATACACACGTACACACACAAGGACCCGACCCGTGCATATACAGACAAGCACAAATACACAGGTGCTTGCACATAAACCAGCACACACATAAACATATATAGGCATGAACACAGTTACCTACATACATCCATGTCCTGGCTACAGCTAATGCCTACACAAGCACCTTTTCCTTTTGGATCCGCTTAACTCCCCTCCCTGAGGTTCCCTCCTCCGTACGAAGCACTCCTCTTCTTCCTCCAGGAGTACACTCTTGTTTCTTCTCAGCCCTTACCTATAAGCAGACACTTGCTTCCAGAGGTATTTCTTTCCTGCCACAGTCACTGACTTACGTACGTCATAAGAACATGCTCTTATGTTGAAAGCTCAGTCCGCAGGCAATACTGGGAGGTGGTAAACACTTTAGAGTGGAGTCTGAGTAGAAGAAGCAGGTCACTGCACAGAACGTATTTAAAAAGGATACTTGGATTCCAGCCCCTTCTCTATCTTTCCTGACTGCATGACATGAGCTTTATTGCATCACACACTTCCACCATGATGCCCTGCCTCACCACAGCCCCAAAAGCAACAGGTCAAGCTCATGGACTAAACTCAAACTATGATCTGAAATATGTATTTTCTGCTTTTTGTGTAGATTTTCCTCAGGTTTTGTGTTTCAGCAATGGAAATCTGACTGTTATATGACTCACTGGGAGAGGATTCTGGGACTCTGTATCTGGTTTCCTCTAGCCTTCACCTATGCACCTTCCCTTTAGTAGCTGCCTTGTATCCCTTTTCTGCTATAAGCCATAGCAATGACAATAACTATACACTGAGGTCTATAAGCCCTCTTGTGAGTCATGGAACCTAGAAGTGGTACCCGGAAAACCTAGCACACCTTCTGCATACTCGGCCCAGTCTAGAGCATACTACTCCCTCCTCAGTGTGTCCACCCTCCTTCCATGTGCTAGAGAGTTTTAGTGAAATCACAGATGTGCTGTGACATCTAAGTGCATCACTGGCTCCCAAGGGACTTAGAATATGAGTTGATGTCCTCATCCCACACTTCAGTGAACTCAGTCATCTGGAGCCCCAATCCACTCCCATCAGCTCTGCTGTGCCCTTCAGTCATTTCACAGCCTTCTAAGGTCCCCACATGTCCCAGGCACGCTGTTCCCTGAGGGACTTCACTGATGTTGTTCTTGTTAGATCAAGGAACCTCTAGCTGGCCCTCCCCGCCTTCCTCCCAGTCCTCTGTCTCAGAAATAAGCCACATTCCTGTAGTCCCTCTCTCTCTCTCTCTCTCTCTCTCTCTCTCTCTCTCTCTCTCTCCTTTTCTGACAACTTCCTGTACTTCCTGTACTTCCTCCCTCCCTCCCTCCCTCCCTCCCTCCCTCTCTCTCTCTCTCTCTCTTTCTCTCTCTCTCTCTCTCTCTGAACAGAGTTGATAAGAAAATGTGCTGTGGCCTTGTAGTCTCCCTCCTTCTTGTATCTTCAAGTAAGGTCAAAACAAACCTGAGCTGTAACTTTACTTTTATCTAGTGCTTTCCTGACTTACAACTATTGGCAATAGGGTTGACCAGGCTAAGTGATGTGGTATGTAGTTTGCCTACCGGCCCCGAAAACTTCCAACAGTCAGATACTCCCTTTGTCCCATGGAAACTGAGAGGTCTCTCTCGCTCACTCATTCACTCTCTTGCTCTCATTTTCTCACTCTCCACCTCTCTCTTCTCTCTCTCCTCTTCCCTCCCTCTCTCTTTCTTCAATACCCTATCTTGCTGCCTCTGGTATGAAGCTCTCAGGGAACTGAAGGATGTTGCCCTTCAGGATGGCCATCACACCATCTGTGACAGCTCTCTCCCAGCGCTCTCCCACTTCAAGACCAATAGCAGGCTGCGTGTGGTCATGATCCTACGTCCCCTAAGAAAGCTTGTCTGAAGAGCAGTTCATTTCAGCATTCCTTTCTAGGAACCCCTCAGTCTTCTAATAGCGCTGAGGCCTGAGTCTTTTCTCCAAACCTTCTCTCAACAGCCCAACAGCTAACCAAGATAAATCATACAGTAATTATGGCCCAAGCCACACATGAAGAAAGAGGCCCCAGAAGGAAGCTACCCTGCTAGCACCTTGACCTCTGGCTTCTGTCTCCAAAACGGTAAGACAGCAAACTTCTATCAAGTGTGTGCGGGTGAGAAACTCTGGTCTGAGGGTTCTTTGGGGTTTGTTTGGCTTGCTTGCTTGCTTGCTTCCTTGCCTGCTTGTACTGAGATGAGGCTCACTGTGTTGCCCAGGATTCAAACTCCTAGGCTAAAGCAATCCTCTCACCTCAGCCTTCCAAAGGCTGGGACTCTTAAGCATGTGCTACCTGCCACACCCAGTCCTGGTCTAAGCTTAAATGTCTTTGCTTCCCCAGAGTTTCTCTCTGGCCTCTAATATGACATTCTTGTGTTTTACATTATCTGTTGTATCCTGGTCTTCACTTCAAAAATCTTACATTTCAGTCACTGTGGCTCAACAGGATAAAAGGAAAATGTTTTCTCGGAAAAAGTTTCTCAGCACACATATTGCAACAGGCCACAGTCAGATCCCCTTCAAGAAATAACAAAGATTCCTGTGCTGGGGAGGCAGAAGCAGGAGGATCTCTGGGACTCACCAGACAGCTAGTCTAGCCTAACTGGTGAACTGTAAACCAGTGAAGCCATTCCTGAGGCTGACACCTAAGGTTGTCCTCTAGCCTACACACACACAGATGCATGCCAAGTACATGCATGTACACGTGCACACATGCACACAAACATGCACATACACATTCATTTTATTAAAAAAGAAGTAACAAGGAAGGCTGAGGGTATCCCCTGGCTACAGCACTTGCCTAGCATGTGCGTGGCCCTCATACCACATCCCTAGTACCATAACAAAACCCAAAACTAGAGGAGAGGGAGGAGTAGGAACAAAGTGCTCAGCCCAAAAAACTTGCCACAAATCAGATGAAGAGCGACAGTCTAACCTGAGATTACAGCCTGTCAGTGATAACGCACAGCCCAAACACAAGATTGGCACACACCGTTCAGAGATAAAGCTTATTTTTCTCACTAGAAGGCAAATGGAAGGAAACAAACGCCTTGCCATTAATACTATAATGTTATTTGCTGCTAACATTTTCCTTCACTACTGAAAATGTGGCTTTAAATATCACTTTTCAAATCCAAGCCATTAAAACTTAAGCCATTTCAAGTAAATTCAAGTGTGGTTTTCAAAATCAACATAGTTATATAGTCAGGAATTTAATGTTAAGTCAAGTGTGGCGGTATCTCAGCACTCAAGAAGCTGTGGCAGGAAGATTGCAAGTTCAAGAAAGAGGGACAGAGGGTAAGAGGAGAAAGAGAGAAGGAGGAGGGGGGAGAGGGGGGAGGTGGGAGAAAGAGAGATTGTTTAAAGTATTCCTGAAAAATTATTTATAAAAGAAATAAAACACTACTTTTCAGTGTTAGAAAGATGTAATGTTGCTCAGATAGGTCTGGGCCCCTTCTTTCTATTTTTTCATTTTAAATATTTTGCTACTTTTGGTTTTCACAATACTGAGGATTCAACCAAGGGCCTCACACATGCTAAGAAAGTGCTCTACTATTCTATATCTCCAGGTATTTAATTTTATCTTGAGACAGCCCTGCTAAATTGTCCAGGCTGAACTTGAACTTACTCTGTATCCCAGTCTCTTGAGTAGTTGAGATCACATGCCTGAGCCATTGTTTTAACTGACAAATAAAAATTGTATATATTTGGGGGCTGGAGAGATGCCTCAGTTGGTTAAGAGCACTGGCTGCTCTTGCAGATGACCCAGATTCAGTTCCCAGCACCCACATGGTGGCTAACAACTATCCTAACTCCAGTTCCAGGGATCCAATGCCCTTTTCTGGCCTCAACAGGCATTCAACACATGGGTTCACTTACATACATACAGGAAAAATACTCATACACATAAAATTGAAATAGATTTTTTAATTGTATGTATTTGTGGTATACTGATAATTTCAAATAAACACACTATGAAATGGTTAGTTTAAGCTAATTAATATTTGTATGACTTCTGTGGTAGTTAATCTTGATTGTCAACTTGACAGGATTTAGAATCATTAGAGAACACACTTCTGGGTGAGTCTATGAAAATGCTTCCAGAAAGGTTCAATTTAGCAGGAAGACATACTCTAAGCCGGAGTGGCTCCATGGCACCATCCTATGGGCTAGGGCTACAGACTGAATGCAAAGGAGAAAGTTAGCTAAGTGTCAGCATTCTCCTCTCTCCCTCTCTCCCTCTCTCTCTCCCTCCCTCCCTCTCTCCCTCCCTCTCACTCTCTCTCCTTTCTCTCTCTCTTCTTCCTGACTGTAGTTGCAGTGTGCCCAGCTGCCTCATGCTGTGACCATGATCCATCATGCTTCCCCACCATGATGGACTGTACCTCACACTATGAGCCAAATAAACTTTTTGTCAGTTATTTTGTCACGGCAATGAAAAAATGTAACTACTATAGCCTCACGTTATTTCCTGCTCTTTCTTAATAAGAAGATCTAAAAGGAACAGATAATCCCAGCCATATAATCCTTGGCAAGTATCTTTCCCACTGAGTGTGCAAATGCTGAGATAGCAAGATGGTCCCATGGCTACATGGTTCTCCTATGGTTCCAATAGTCAGAAGAAATGAAGGTGAGATGGGTCACAAGTTCCCACACAAAACTCAGGATGCCAGGGCCTTCTAGCCACATGTCCCATAAACATTCACTCACCGAAATCCCTGGCCACCCATGGGTTGGGGCAATGCAATGCAGACACCTGGGTCTCCATCCTCTGATTCTGCATAGCTGCCTTCAGACCCTGGACAGGACAGGAGTCAAGGATTAGTTACACAACCACTCACACATGTTCAGCCTCAGTTTGATGGTGGGCCCTGCCTTGAAGAATGTACTAGTAACACAAGTCAGTATTTACCTCATCCCTAAACATAATCACTGACTGAATTTCAGCTCCAAAACAAGATGGAGAAAGGGTGCCCTCATGGAGCAGGCAGCCTCTGAGATGCTTTCCGCAAGGGGGTAGGGGTAGGAGGGGGTAGAAAAGGGAACTGAACCACAGGCTGAGGGCAGGGGCAGAAGGGGAGCACAGAGATGTACCCAAGCAAATGAGGATGTTAGTTCGTCCTAGAGGGAAGGCATGTCATGGGTGCTATGGTTTGGATGTGGTTTGATGTCACCACCCCCACCTAGAATTTAATGTATTGAAAGCTTAATTCTCAGTGTGGGAATGTTCAGAAGTTGCAGAACCTTTAAGAGGTGGGCTTTACACCAGGCTTGGTGGCACATGCTTTTAATACCAGCGCTCCGGAGGCAGAGGCAGGCAGATCTCTGTGAGTTCAAGGCCAGCCTGG